TGCCAATTCTGAAGGTATTTTGTTCTCACCTGGCTAACTGACAAGGTGGAGGAGGTCCCTGGACCTCAGCCCAGCAGATGTGCTCCAAGGCAGCAGAGGTGGAAGAAACCCGTGACGGGGAGGCAACCTGCCTGCCTGTCAGCACTAAGTCTCTAATCTTCCTTTCAGCTTGAGCTGCCTCACTGTTGCGGAACCAGGCACACAGCGCTGGAAGGATTTCCTGGATCTGACTCGATTCTTCAGCCATCTCAGCCACACTTCTCGGGCAAAGTTTTTTGAACCTTATTTAAACAGTCACGGGCTTTTTGAAGTGATTCTCATTGCTTGAATCAACCTTCTCTAAAAATGGCTTCATCCTCACCAAAAATATTTTGAGAAACAGAAAGGTTATGCCTGTTTAAAATAAGAGATACAAAAGAGAAAAAAAGAGATACAAAACCCATTTATCACAAAACACAAAAAGATTGTCTCTTTTTCCAAGTTTGGAATATTTATTGTACTATTTCACCATATCTTTCAATCCATGAAAGATCTGAAATCCAAGTGGCAACATTAAACCCCAAACATAATTCAGACTTTTTGAAAATTAAGCTAAGTAGATTAAATACAACTAGAAAAGAATTGACCTAAATTACAAGAGATAAAGTGACTTGTAAACAGTTTCAAATATGGCGCTAAGGCAGGTATTTATTCCAACACTTACATCTACAACAGAAGTATTAGGATTTAACATTATCTTGATATTTAGATTTTAGTTGTTCACAACATACACACCCCTCACTTAGTAAAATCCACCACACCAATGGAAGGAGGAATACCCTGCTTCTCAAATTCACATAAGACATCATTATTCACAGATACATAGTATTTTAAAGCAAGTCAAATACACTTGTAAAATCATTTTTATCCCGTGCATTTTGGGGGCTATCACTTCCCCCAAGTAATTTCAATGGCTTTAGTACTAGGGACCAAGAAAACAAAAGTTAGATATCAAGCATGGCTTCCTTGTATTTCAATGAAGTACTGCTGTTTAAACAGAAAAGCAATAGCCAAGTTGTTCACCTGCTCTATAGCATTCCAAGTGACTGAAGAGTGACCCGTGTCATCAGGAACTACCTGGACTGCATTCAACTTGAAGTGGTGGATCTCATTCTTTATCTACTGACCACATTGCTATATTCTGTGTAAAGAAACGTACTACAGAAGCACCACTGGTATGGGAACAAAAGTATGCTGCATTTGCAGTGTTTCAAGGCAGGGTGATTATTCCTACTGCACGTGGCAGAGGGGCAGCTTCTACTCGTGCCTCCCACACAGTGAACTGGGTCAGGACTAACTCTGCGATCCTGCCTTGGTGCTTGCCCTGTCACCCAAGCCCAGGCTCAGACTTGTGGCCATGAAGGCCCCCTTCACTTAGCAGCCCTTGACAGTATTGGGTTTGAGTATTAGAGGGGATGTTTGTTTCCAGTTGCTTCCAAATCAACTGCCCTGTGATAAACAGTCTTGTTTTGTCTAGAGTTCTGCTCTTTCACTGCTTTTACAGTAATAGGAGTTCATATTATAAACAGGCTAAGGGGAATAAAAACCTTAAGTGCTAGAATGAGCAGACAAATGCACAGAAACTTGCCTTTAGCCTCATTCTGAGGAACTAATTACAAAACTAACGCTCAAATTAACTTTTAAGTTTTAAACAAAATGTATAGACATATGCACTAGCAATGCAAGTATGCCCAATGTATTCCCTCAGTGAATCATCAGCTGTAGCCTAGAATTATTAGTAGACAGCAGGGTAGACTGAAGACAGAAATTGAACTCAATGCTTGTCTGACGTGGGAAGATATTAAAACTGCTTCAAGAAAGTTCTCTCCCTTCTCTAATGCAGCATTACATCAACAGAGCCAGTTTCTTTCATAAAGAATTTGCATAGTAGGAATAGACTTCACATTGGTAATTTGCAGCTGACCATCAACTGCTCAGCTTCACTTTTTGTACAGTCACTATTTCCTCTGTACAAGAAAACTGAACACCAAATATAGCTGCTCATCTCCACAGTTAAGACAGACATCCAGTTCTCTATTATATTGGAAGATGAGAGATGAATTAGGAAACGCAAATGCAAATTTCAAAGCGAGGCTCACAACGTATCTTGTATTTACCACATACAAAATACCTGCTCCTTTAAAAAAACCCCAAATCCTCAATCTGGCAGCACTGATCTCAACATAACACTTTAAGACTCATTACTCCAAGCTTGCCCACTTCAGATTACCAGGAAAAAAAGTCAATACAGGTTTACTTTGGGATACTGAGATAAAGCAGTGGGGCTGACACCACTAAGTTCAAGCGCAGTTTTTCTCATCTATTCCTTCTCTCATCCCTCCTGCTCCCCAATTGGTAATACTGCACTTTCCCATGAACAGTAAAGCAGCCTACATCAAGAGAAAGATGAACTGAATTGTGCCTCACTCAGGAAGTTCTGCTCCTGGAGGGCTGCTGCTGCTGCTTTTCTAGTACCAGAAACAATTTCTAACAAGCTACTAAGCAGCCTGGAACTGCAATACCTATCTGTGATATACTGCCCATCCTGTACAGCTTTACTGTTCTTTACTAAGAAACAGGTCTAGCTCCTTCTGAGTAGCTCTGTGTAATCACTAGGGCATGCTACCTTCTTCATACCCAGCTAATTAATAGGGTGGTCTCTTCAGTCTTCCTTCTCAATGAGGTCTCAGCCATACCTGAGCAACGATTCTTACAGCAACAGCTTACTGATTCCTTCAGCACTGAAGAAAGGCAGCTAGGCAGAGGGCTTCTTTAAATTCAGTTTAGAGGACAGGCACACCCCTAGTTTGCACCTCAGGTAAGAGATATCCTATCACAACAGCCTCAAGTGCTCTTGGTGAACAAGGGAATGAAAGACATTCTATGACTTGATACAGTTTTCAAAGACAAGGTAGCACAAAGATCAGCTCCGTGTAAGTGTCCATACTTAAACACACACATTCTTCTCTGTGACTAGAACTTACACTTAAAATTCATTTGCTCATTAATAACTGGTATATGAAAGAAGGGTTTGAAGAAGGCCAGCCATAACCAAGAGGTAGAGAACACCATCTTTTCAGGAACTCTTCAAGAACATCTGAGTGAATCCACGTCCTACCTGCTGTTGACACCACAGGTAAAAAGCACAGTTCTAACCCAGTATGTTGCTGAACGGCAAAGCTAGAACAGCTTTTTTTTTTTTTAAACCACAAATAGTAACAAAGATCAGCATTTACATATAATCTATTTGTGAACTTCGATTCTCAGATTCAGTGAGAAAAACATATGGAGCTGACTTATACGGCCTCAGATTTTCTTTTCTTACTCATACTTCCTTAAGCAGACATCGTATATAATGATACCCTATTACAGCAAAATTGATTCCCTGCCATTTATGAGAAACAGCACAAGCTGAGCCTGAATTTCAACCTGAATAGGTTGAGTTCTTTAAAAGCCCACAATAAGAAGAAATCACTTCAGAGTTCATATCTTGTACTTTCGTTTAGTAGCTGCCTTAAAACAGTAATAAAAAGGAAGAAAAAGGAATTTAAAATAAGGCACAGACACTAATGACAATGTTTTCATAATGTAATCTTATTGATGTTGAAATATAACTTTTGGCAGTAAAAATACATAATTTTATTAGATATTTATCAAGAGAACCTCAAGTCAATCTTACCTTACTGCTAGTACAAAAGTGCCATCCTCATTTCTTATTCAAAGATAAAGCCATGGCCACATGCAGAATTCATTACAAGCCTATGAGTTTTTCCCTAGAGTCAAGCTGGGTTCTAGAACACTAGCATATTTTAACCAGTTAACTTCAATGATAACTTCTTGCACAATCCAAATATATGGCCATATATTTCTTTATTTTGTCTATGAAAACAAAGATAGATCTATGATTTATCACCTTTAAAGTACATTCCTCAAGGGTAATCTAAGAGCTCTAGCAATTTCTAGCCAAGTGTAAAGCCAGTCTTTACTTGTTATATTTAAATACACCACAGAAGAGTAATAAAAACATTTTTATACCAAAATTTTTAAACCTTTACAACTACGCATTGTAAAGCAAAAAGTTCTCTCGCAGACTCTTTATACTGTGAAACACATTTATTGGTATATAATACACAGAGATAAGAGAATGGGGCTATCCTCATACCTCAAAAGAGTGGCCCACAAAATGGTCAGATTTAAGACATTTCAACTGCTTTTCCTTTAGCTGACTGCCCTGGGAAATGCAAAACCTTTGGTGGTTTAGTTATGTGAACGCTCCTTAAAAGCACCAAATTCTGAAGGCTAGATAGGAATCTGTTATTCAGAAGTCATTTATAATTTACACAAGACTCAAATCAAAACAACAGGAAGCCTAAAAGCTGCTGACCGCTCCATGATTTTAAAATTCATTAGCTTCATCTCTTTTGAAAAAAACAAAAAAACAAAAAACCAAAAAAAAAAATCTCACACCACTTGAACCTATCAGGAGACCTTTCACCTGTGTAGCACTAGAAAAAGGGCATATGCTCAACCCTAGGCAAGAAAATAACCCTTATAAGAAAGTTGGGGTATATTTTTTTGGAAGTAGGTTATTTGGCAATACATGCTGTGCATGTATATTTATGCTTTGAGCGTGCAGCTGGCACTACATAGATTTTAACTGGAAAATCATTCTTTCTAATGCCAAAATAGAAAAGGCAACAGCAAACCATTAAACCCCAGATACTGCCTCACTGTTAAGCTACAGTTTTAAAATTAAAATAGCATGTAACAATAAAGAGTTTAGAGTTGTATTTTCAATGCGTTTGGTGTGTTCCAATTTGATTTAAGGGGGTGTGAATCTGCCATCGTTAATCAGATCAAAACTTTACTAATTTTGCAAAAGCTGTTAATTTCCTAAGGGAGGTAGAATATAAAGGGCAAGATTGAATAACATGGCCTCATCTGGCTGTAAACATTTCAAAACAGATATAAATAGCTATCATAAAAGTAGTATGGAAGGGATTGTTCTATAAATTGCTTTTATGAACTTAAAAAGAACCAACAGTAGATACAATTAATATATTTACTTATTTGCATGTAGTTTAAATGATACAGAACTGAAGATTACTATGTTAGAAATCCACATACAATATAAAAACATTTGTTAGACATAAATTCACCAGTCTGCTGACATTTGCAATAACTGTTTATCGAAGCTTGAATTCATTTTTGTAATAGTTCACATACATGATTTTGTGAATGTGCAATGTTTCATAAACAACTCTATACAAAGTGAAACCCTGATTTTGTAGCAGTTTTTCATCACGTCTTAATCTGTGAGCAATATAGCTACTTGCATATCAATACACTGGCTTCTTGAAACACTAGTAATTAAGGCATCTTTGCTGTATCATTTCTCAATAGTGCAAACAAAAATTGTCTTTAATAGTTTGATTAAAACACAATAGTAATATTTCCAACATTTTTAAACATAATTGAAAAATAGTTGTGCATCTTTGAGATCTCCTGTGAAAGAAACATTTAAAAGCTTTTAATGCTGACTGGTCTTGCTGGTTCCTTATAGCTGCTTCTGCCATCTTGTGCTCCGGACAGCACAATTAATCTTCTTCTACACAACGCTGCAGTAAAACACAGTAGCATTTCAATGACTCTACCTAGTAACTGAACACATCCCAAATGCAGCAAAGGCATACAGTTTCCATAGTGCGCTTTCACCTCACTGAAGTAAAAGCTGCTCCTACTAGACATTTTTCCACTTCAATGTGAAGTAGATTGTTAGGGTTTTGTTAGTGGTTTCATTAAACAGCTTGACAGTTCAGTTCTCTTCTGCCAACATTTCTCAAAAGGCTTTCAGAGACGGTACATATTTCAGAGATATTTTAGGGAATCAGTTCACCACATAAGCACACATTTCTCAGTCACATCAGTGTAGTTGTAATAAATAAGCATTTACATCCTAAAAGAAAAAGAGGAGAAAGTGTTTGTCACAATACTTATAGCATCAAGTTCTATAGCTGTAGAATTAGAAATCCCACAAAAGTCACTGGCAAAAAGCCCCCAGTATCTCCAGGTTCTTTGCTTTGGGCTTTCTGTAGCTTACGGCAGCATTACTTTATGTTCCACTCATATCTCCCATATTATCTTAGGAGCACCAAGAGATTTATTTAGGATTGAATCTTACACTCCAAAAGGATTATCTGTGGTAAATCGAAGATAAAAGCCCTTGATACACATCATTTATCACTGTTTACCTTAAGAACTGAGACAGTCTCCATTATTGATGGAGACAAAAACAAGATGCTATGAGAGGTGCATGTAACAAGCTGCACATAACCAATCGTCTGCTTTTGTTGCCTTAGTCTCCTTTCTTCCTGTTTACCTTCAAGAGGTCCCTCCAGGGAAGGGGTTTTTAACTCGCTGTAACCCTTAGAGCAAAACCTCAGAAAGGCATTTGCCTAGAGACAAGTAGCACACATCACCACCACATTACTGTGACAATACCATAGCATATAAAGACAAAAATACAAGCAGGGTATTTACTTCAGACAGGACCACCCTTCTGCTCACCACAAACTCATTATTTCCTAAGCATCGGACTAACAAAAGCTTCAGCTTTACTGGGACAGCTGAACTGTCACTTGTTCCAGTGATCTGTCACTGAAATGAAAGAACCATTGCTGAGGCAAGATTCTATGAGGTGCATTACACTTACACAACTAGATATGGGAGATTCCTTTCAGTGTACCTACTCATCTGGCCCTCTTTTTGTATTATGTTAAGCCTTACTATTACTAGCTATTTTAATTAGAATATTCTTTCTATGGAAGGAAGAAAAAACCTCACTATTAACATGAGGAATTGACTCCAGATTTCTGCAACCAATTATATAATACACATGAGCATTAGTAAAATCAAGTTGCATTTACTCTTCAATAGTTTGAAAGGGATAAGATCCAACTAGAGGAATCCTAAAATGATACAGCTATGTTCACTACTGAGCACTACTGGAACTGTATTACCTTAGCTATATTACCAGTATATCCTGGAACCAGAGTAAGATGACTCTCCTGTTCCCATAATCCACTTAATTGATGTTTTAAAATAGGAATATTTCTGAAAGAGAATGAAATAACAAGGCTTTGTAAAATGTGTACTCCAAGTAGGGTTCCTGGCAAACAGATTTAGTTTTCCGTATAGCCTTAGTCCTGCAAGCAAACAACTCCCCCCACACCACACACACACAGAACATGCAAAAAATGTAAATCCAACTTCTACAATATTTTTATTACCTCTAATGTGTCTCTAATTTTACTGTTTGGCATTTTTTTTTGGAACTCTAGATGAAAAACCACCCACTGCTTGATAACCATAAGTCTTTAAATTCTGTTAAACTTTTAAATTCTGATTATCTTTTTTTTTCAGATGAGATCTGCTAGCACTGATTCACATTCATACAGAACAGATGGAATAAACTACAGGAGCATTTTAACACATGCTAATACTATACTCACCCATCCTCTGTCTTTTCTGTATGTGCAGATAATTCTGACCACCATCTTTTAATGACAGCCTGCAGCCAGTTTAAGCCAACTATCACATATCTGTAACAATATATTTTAGATATTACATGTTTCTCCTCCATTTAATAATACCAAGCCAACTGGAGGCCAAGTCCTTTTGTTTTTTAAATTAATGTGGTAAACTTCTGCTTTTGTTTAGAGGAAAAAAACACACACAAAAAAAGAAGATTCTTCAAATATTTTGCCTGAGAAATATGCGCTGATTTGATATTGCAAAATATGCAAGCCTAATACCTCAGTCATGTTTCTCTTGCTATGAATGCATCTGCACAAGGCCAAAGCAGCTAGTTCTCTGCTCCCTAACCTTGCAAAAGAAATACAAATTTTGCACCTCTGAACACTTGAAGGGAAAAGTGAAGGTTTACAGGAAGGTTTCTTCAGAAAGGTGTTTCTCAAGAAACTCGGGCAGAAGAGATCAAGGTAGGGATTAAACACCTTTAAATTGAAGTGCAGTGCATAGCCAGGAAGAAACATTTCCAGAACACTCGAAAGTGATACCTACTCTTCATATTTGCTCTTAAGCAGTGACTTCACTAAAGGCAGAAGATCTACACAGCAGCCAACTGATATATATGGTTTTTCTTCCTGCAAACTTAAGAAAGAAGAAGTTTCAGAAGTGACTGAACTTCCGTGTGGGTATTAGATTCTCATTCCCCACTTAGTTTTATTTTTACCTGTTTGTAAGCACAGGAAGGCAGTCTACTACTACACCCAGATCCTGTATCCTAGGAAAAATAATGATAAAATAAGAAGCGTTACTAGAAGAGCATAGGCTGATCTATATGCTTCCATTATCATTTAAAGAACAGGTAATTATAGCTAAGTTACAAACATTAAGGAACTCCAACAATACTGTAGCATGTGTGAGATTGCTACTCTAGAAAAAGAAAATAAGAGATGCTCCATTTACCTCACTAGGTAGGCTACCAGTTCGCTTATACTTCTCCTTCTCCAAAAGGTTAAAGCTACATTCAGCCTCAGATTCCTACTGAAAAGGACTTGAGCCATAGTTTCATGGTCCTGAGAAACCTACATAGTATTTTTGAGAATTAAAAAAAAAAGTTTACTGCAAGTTAAAACAACCAGCAACAGCATAGTAAGTTGCTGTATAACTTAGCATATAAAATACTCTTCTACACAGACACATAATTACTATTTAATAATTTATTTCCTTGAGAAGGCAGCAAAAATAGATTAAGACTTCTTCACCCAAAAGGTGACTGTAGATACCCTAAATAGTTTGTTTAGGCTGTCCATAATTAAACACAGCATTCATGAGTACCAACTTACAATTCTCACTGACTTCAATAGCTGTTTACCTAGATGTTTAGTAATTTTGAGAACTTTAACAATTCAGACACAAAGCACTGCATGTATTATGAACACAGAGAAAATGCTTAATTTCTGGAGAGCCTTATCCTTAGACTGTAGTTTAGATATCTTAATCTTGATTACCATGAGACTCATTTTTAGTCTTTTAGCCAGCTGCAGAAGCACAGCAAACATTCACTGAGCGTCATCAAATAATTTTACCGGGAAGTACTGACTTAAAGTAATTCTGATTAGTTTTGTACACTATTACCCAATAGTGCAATCAAAAAGTGTCCTGTCCAACACCACCTGCTTACTGCCACCCATACACTAACACATTCAAAAGCGTGTGTATAGATGTGCAGCACTGCAAGTCATGAAAACTGCTCAGGTCAAAGCAACTTTGTGTTGGTTTACTTTTAACCCAGCCCAGCTGCTGGTTCTAAATTTGTGCTGAACCAAGAACAGGAACAGCAGCAAGACTACTACTGTAAGCAAGGGAGCCACTGTGAACAGACAAATACAAACTGTAAATCACTAGTCCTAAGGCAGCTTGTATGCTAAGAAAACTAAATCTCTTCAAAGGCTTTCACAACTAACTGCACAAGTCAATTTACCAAAAGCAGCTTTATGTTAAACAAGTTCACGTTTTAACAGCAGCAGCAACAGTTTATAATAATAAAGACAACAGCAACAAACCTCCGCTTACCTCTGAAAAAAATCCACTATATTTGGATGAGGGGCCTTCTGTTTGGGATGAGCCAGAATCACTAGAATTTAGCAGGTGTGAACGACTGTCATTATGTAGCTTTGCTGGCAGATTCCCTGCACAAGCCAGTTCATTTTCTTTATTTGCCATGTCACAGCCCCTGAATTTGGGGAACTGCTTCTTTCTATAACAAGGCTTTGGAGTATAACAGTGAACTTTTCTTTTACAATATACTACTTTGAAAAGAGAGGGGGTACTGGTCACCGTTTTTCCAACTGTTATTCTGCAAAAATAGAGCAATATTTTAGTAAACATCACTAAAAACTATGCATTTTGTGTTATTATTAAACACAGTATTAATGAGTTCAGTATTAAACTTGCAGCTTCTTTAAAAAGTGCCTCCCCATCCTCCCGCACCAATGAAACATCTTCATGACATTTGGGTTATCAGGAAGGAGAGTTGCAATCAATACCCTTCTCTTGCTCTCATTAATACAGAGACTCTTTGTACTAGTAATGGAGACAAGAACAAAGTAGCAGGGGTAAAATAAAATAAATTCTATATGCAAGATGACAACTTTCTCTGTGTTTGTTCACTTAAAGCAGATTTAAACTGCTTCTCCCTCCCTCCTCATCCTAAATCCAAGACTCTAAACAGCAAAGTTCTCCTACCTGTTTGTATATAAAGCCAACTGTTTTGGAGATTTCTTATCCTGGGAAAGGTGAAAGAGAGAAGAGCTGTATTAATAACAAACCTCAAACAATTCTTCACTTTGTTAAAAAATTCCTTCTTTATCACAAACTATGCTTGCCACAGATCCCCTACCACTCATCCTTCCAATTCTGCAACGGAAGCGCAGCTGTGTTAAACTTCTCCTAACACACAGATGTTTCACACACAGGGAGATGCCAGAGCTCTCCTTAGAGCATCATTTTCTACAGGCTTGTGGTAGCTCTGCCAAAAGGCGAGGCTGCAGCATCAGACCAAGATTCTTGATTTGTGAGAGTAATTGAAAATTGCCACTAAGAAAAAGGCGACTAAAGTTTGATAGTGAAACTGAATTATCCATCTCATTAACAATTGATGGTTAACAACACAGCAGAAGCCACAGTACAAAAAAAGTATCACTCAAAGTAACATTAAAAAAAAGCCCTGATGTATAAAACACCAGCTTAATTACCCTGAATTCATTCATATGAATATTATCCTGATAGCAATTATGTTGCATGGAACAGCAATAATCAAAAAGAATCACATACATCATTCAAGACTGTGCTGTACATATTAGCAAAACCTTTGAAATAAAGTTATAATTTGAAGATTAATTTCTAAAGTATAATTGTCTTCTTATCTTCAATGTTTTACAGCTCCACATAATGAAGATGAAAAGTTGACATTCTGGTCTTTTTTTAAAAAACTAATAAGAAAACATTTTTTCAGAGCACGGAGACGCTGAAGTAAAAAGAAATGCATATTTTAAGTAGGTACTATGCTCATATATTGTAAGTAGTTCAATTTGGAAGCTTATATTGCTGTTAGGCATTTAAGCTCTTGACTACAAAATGACGCCAGAATCTTTCTATGTCATTGACTCATGGAAAAGCATGTGGCTTAATTTATGGTTTCAATAAAAAACAAAACCACAGAGGACATGATAACTTCACCACCATTTGAAGTGAAGTTTACCTCCCTAATACTACCTCTGTTCTCCATCTGGCCACATTAAGGCTTCAGGCAGCAGGAACAGATAAGAGAAAGTGCTTTGGGCTGGCAGGGTCCCAGCAGAAGCACCCGAGTTATCAGAGCAGCTCTTTGGCACTGGGAGAACAGGGCTGTTTCCATCCATGTGCTTCGTCTGCCCTCCCTCTCACTTGCTGTGCCACATGCTCTCCCGGTGAGGGAAACCCTTCCGATGACTGAAGCCCTGCTCTGAACCAGTTCTTGGCTAGATGGCAGGGAAGCAGGTAGGAGTAAAGCCACATCAATACCCACGGCCCACATGGGAGATAGGACATATGTAATAGGCACATACAGTAACTGCACTGATATAATGCAATGCACATTTCCCATCATGTAAGCTTTGCATAGGCTAACATTCTAATTCACATCTCAACATGAAACAGAGCCTTCTTTGCACTGAATGTTGTATTTCTTGTTTTAAACTGCTCAGAGCTATGAATTTCTGTGAAAGTCTTTGCTTCAGCTTAATCAGAAGAAATTAAAAACCTTACCTCCTTCATGATCTTTTTAGTGACAGAAGAAATTCTGTTTCTGGGAAGATCAATGGAGTGACCCTCAATATGCAACACGTTCTGTTTTCTATCATTGTGGGCTCCAGATGCCATAATCTCTCAAATCCCTATGTTTAAGGGAAGACAGTATTTAGTTACAATTTATAAAGCACCTAATCAAGTTTATTCAAATGCAGCTGGGGAAAAAAGTTAACAGTGGAACTATTCACAGGATATTGTCAGGTAAATAATTAAAGATATGACAAGTTAGCACATATTAATTGGAAGTCTTAACAATAGCATTCTAATGAGCATTTGAAGATTTATTTTATTTGAAAACACCAAGTATAACCCCAAGAAAGATCTTATTCAGACCAGCTTGGTGCATCTGTACAGTTGGGTATAGTCACGTACAATACATAAAGAATAGTAATAAGCTCAAGTAAAAAGCATAACAAGTGATTCATTCCTCTAAGTTTCACACTACCAATTTCAACTCCCACCTGAAAACAAAAGGGGGAGATAAAAACTAACCCACAACTATTTCTAAATAAACAAAGAATTTTTCCTTAATTCGTGGTTGCAACATTAATATTTCTAATATTGATAGTCCACTTCTCCACATAGCAAATAGATTTGCCCCCTACTAGAAATTTCGGTATTTAAAACATGAATTAGATCAGCACTGGAGAGAAAAAAAATATAAAAACAAACAACAACAACAACCCCACACCATCACACAGATGGGAAGCAGGGCTTTCAGTACAGGAACTGAATGTCATGAAATAAAGCAAACAGGTAGCAGAGGTACCTGAGGAACCTTCGGAACAAAGCATGAGGACTTCATGTAACACATACTCAACACCCTGCCTGTGGATCTTAGGGAAGCTAGAGAACATATTCTGCAAGAGCTTCAGCTTTTTTTAGAACAGGATCAGTACCAAGGAATCTTATTTTAACTCTCTCAGAAAGGAAGATTGACAGAAATCCTTACCCTTTTTAAAAAGGGAGCACAGAGCCCTCAGGCTGAGGGCTGCAGCAAGCATTTAAAGTGGCAGCCTTATTTAAGGCAGGACAGCAGCAGTCAGTTGTCCACATTTCTCTGGCTATAAGGCTGGCTCAAGCCTGGGCCATTAGCTTCACTCTGCGGAGGGCAGTTGCACTTTGCTGGCACCTGTTGGGTGGCCTATTTCTTCCCTGCATGTTATGGCACAGTGACAGAATAGCTGCCACTCTGAGCTCTTCCAAGGCCTCCAGCCACCAGACTTATAAATAGATAGTAAAAAAGTAATTTTGTTCTCAAGTGTAAATGAAACCACCAACTTTTCCCCCCACCCCAATCCCAAACGTGTCTCTCCCAGTAAAGCAACCACTTCTGGAATTCCAATGGTATCAATGTGAGAGGCAGAGAGGGATCATAACTGGGAGCACAACACAAGCTGAACATTTTGGGTAGAAGGAACACAACCCAAAACTCCAGATGAATTGAGGTAAGGTTTCTCAAAAAATGGAAAAGTTGAGAAGAACGGAGAAGTCCTTTGATCTTTGTGGCCCTGTTTGCTAATGTGGGTATCAGGAAGGTAACAACTCCAGCAGATCAGTGAGGACAAAGGACAGCAGGTACCACGGACACCAGAGCTAAATCCAATCTGTCAGATGAATGAAAATCCACAACCCCCATCTCTGAATAATTGTTTTTACAACTACTGTGGCAAAAGACCACCCTGTGACAAGCTTGCAACACTTCATATCAGACAGTGACCTTTTAATTTTCTTGTTTAATAAATGTTTAGGTTCTTACCTATCTCAAATTACTTTCAATATCAACCTATTTTTCCATTCTAAGCACCGAGAACTTGATGTTCAGTGTAGAAGGCAGTGCTATTAAACCAGAATGCTTTTGTATTTTACAGAAGTACAAGAAAAGGTCACAATACTAGAAATAAATGTTTTACCAAGTAAATTTAGAATATTAAATGTTGACTAAGTCAAAACTCAGATAAGTTAAACACCAGATAAGGAAGAACTTCCCTTTAAGAAAGCTAAATCAATAGCTATCTCCTTCCCTCCCCCTCAAAATACACTTGAACTGTCTCCTAGACTTTCGGCTGAAATACAAGAATAAAACAGACAAAGAAAAAAGCAGCAAGCAAAACTAACAATTCTTTAAGGTAATAAAATAAAGAAGTGCTCAGATAGAACAGAACACCTGATCAAGACAGCATCATAACAGATAAGCAAAGTAAATTCTGAGTACTAGAAAATACATCTCAAAGCCACTGCAAAAGCATCAGAAGGGCATACAGGTAAGGTAAAACAGCCCCCAGAACCACAGAACATTCATTCAAAAATTTCAGACATTGAAGAGCTACTCTGTTCACAGAAGCACATAACCTCTCCCTTAGAGCTGCCAGAGTACCTAAGAAAAACCAGCGTGGAAAATGCAGTGTCAATATTTAAATACAGCCTCAGGGAAGATCCAGCCTGACATCTCTATTTGTACAAATTAATAAACATTGTAATCAAGAATAGAATTAGCGGACACAAATAATATATTGTGAAATCATCAACACAGCACCTGTGAAAGCCAATTCTGCCTTGCAAAGCTAATGAAATAAGCTAAATAATAAACAGGATAATAGTGGAAAAGGAGAACTAAGTGATTATCTACCTGAAATTCCAAGAAGCTTCCATTATTCCCTTACTTATCTTGACTAACCAAAGTTTTTGCATGAAGTAACTAGCTAGATTAAATGGTCTAAGTTTTCATACTCAAGAGAGGCCACCACAGGAAAGTAGGAAAAAGTCTATGTTGGAATTCATGCTGCTTGGTATATTCATCAGTTATTTCACACCAAACAACAACAGTAGTTAAATGAGAAAAGTCATTGACAACAGAAGTTCTGTAAGATAATAAAGAGGAAATGGCTGACTAAATTACAGGACCCTATGAAACTGATAAGCAGGGAGCAGCAGAAGCAACAATTCTGGAAGAGCACCGAGCCAGTGCGTATGTGTGAGTGAGAAACTACTAACTTCACAGGCAGAATCACAGACTCTGGACTGTAAGTACACGCTGTAAGTACAAGACTGAGATGAAGGACCAACTACCTTACGGAACAGTGTTCCAGATGGACCTAAGTAATCTAAATCAGAAATACACAAAACTGTTGCGACAATGTATAAACAACAGAAACCCTAACATCAAGAAAGGAGAGAAGAAAACTCAAAGGTAGGGAATACCTCCTGTATACTGGGCTGCTGAACGGATTAGAACTTTCCAACTTTTCAGTCTGTTCTATTTAATTAGGATAAAAAGAAGAAATAAATTCCAACAAAACTAACGCCTTTGAGAAGTTACATGGGAGATTGTTCACTGTGTTGCCCAACATGAAACAAGTGAAACCAGCAGCAAGAGGGTTGGTTCAAAACTAAGAAAAGGAGGTGCCTCTTCACACAAAAGATAATTAAGTGCTGCTTGACACTTCATGCTGTAGATGTAGAAGTTTACCAAAGTTCAAGGCCAGACTGCAAATTGATTAAAAAAATTTACACACACAGAGTGAAAGTGACTACAAACATACACAGGGAAAGTGACTAGATACAGAACCACAAGCCCATGAGCCAGAACTATCCACCAAGCCCAAACGCAACACCGCTAAAAGCCCACAAGTCAGGAAGCCTTCATACAGAGTTTTAGCAATACATAATCAAATGCTAACTGACTAACAGTTTTTTTTTTTTTTTTTTTTTTTTTAAATAAACTAGGAGGGTAAAGGTACTTTACCAGGCTCTTCACTACCATCAGTTCTCATCTGCTATTACATATTCCCTGGGAATCTCTGATTAGACACTACTATCTTCTGCTATTTTGGGAGACACAAGGAGAATTTTTAAACTTGTATCAGATTTTATAGCAGGCTCAACAACTTGTATTTTAACCTCTTGAATTTCAGACAATTCTCTTGTGATAAGTGCAGCAGCTACCGTTCTAAACGGTTAACTCCTATGCTTTATACAATTTCTTAAAAAAAAAAAACTCTGAAGATACAAGGTAGATCTTCTCAGCTCTGCCTTAGCCATTCGCAGTATAAGCTTAAACTTCCTTTTACGATTGCAAAAGGAAGTAGACTGCAAATCTGAAGAGATGCACAACTATATTACGATGACAGCCTAGCATTAAAGCGATTTTATCCTCACATCAATTATTTCTTTATAACAGAGCCAGCTCTCCTTCCTCCCCCCATTTATCTCCATTTTGAAGAAACAGAACCACCGGAGCAGCAGCAACCTCACCTCCTGACAAGGCAGCTTATCTGTCCCCGAGGTCTGGACAGTGTGTGGACAAGGTTTATCTCTGCTGCCGCATTCTGGTTCTGATCTCACCCCGATGCAACCTGCCTTTTAAGTCATTCCAGAATCAGGCAAAGAAAGCAAGCCTGAAATGGCTTTCAAGTGCATAACTGTCAGAGACAAGTACTAACAGACTCGGCCACTCCCTCCCATCAGCCTGTGTTTTGGGCATGGCCCACAAAGATGGACAAATATTTCTTTGGATGTTATGAAATCTACACATGCATTAACATGGCATTAACATTTTACAGAAGACAGATTTGAATGTTTCACATGACACCCAAGTAAGTGTAAAATAGTTAGATTCAAGTCATCACAATAGGCTTTAACTCAGCCTTGCCTCCTGTCCCTTTCTCTTGCCCATTAACTGCTGTTTTTATATAACTCTCACTATGCATTAGCCATCACAGACGCTCCCCCCATTAAAAACCAAGCACAAGACTTCTATGAGGACAACATTAAACTATTGGACTTGGATGAAAAGCGTAATTGACTGTTACTCCCAAAGGATACACAGCTCACGCCTTGAATGTGTTTAAAATGGGTACACAAAGAAGACAACTAATTTCACTAACTCTCAGGCTGAAAAAGCTTAGGAGAAATCTTGAAGAACAGTTATTCCAACTGCCTTATCAAAAGAAAGTAATTCACCTAGAAAAATTAACATCACATTATGAAGCAGAAGAGATGCAGTAAATCCATGAATTCCTTTTGCTTTAACTCCGGCAGATGTTACAGAATCTATCTGCCTCAGTTTCAGACGGCTTCC